CGGGACCGGCACCGCTCCGCCGCCCGCCCGGCCGTCCCCCGCCCCGGCCCAGAGGCAGTAACCGCGGGTTCCGCGGGAGCGGAGGAACCGCTGCAAGGCGGGGAGGACGGGCGTGAGCATCGGGTGCTGAAAAGGATCCATCAGCAACACGGGGTTTTGTTGCGGCAGGAGAACCCCACCCGCGGCTGGACCGTGCCCCAGGAAACAAAACCCCTAAACCTCCTCAAATTACTCTTACCCTGGTCAAGCTCCCTAGGGATTGAACTTGAAATCAACCAGCAAAAGGATTATGGACTGCTACACCGATAAAGAACAGCCAAATTAAAAGACGGTGGGGTTTTTCCCCACTTTGAAGAACAGTTGAGAAGGATGTTTCACAAGGCAGTGAATCCTTAGTTGTCCTGCTACTAAACATCCTACTCAATATAAAAACAGGCAGAGAATGAACCTGACCCTTCCAGAGGACAACAGTCCCAGGTCAGTAGAGGGGCAGGTGACTCACACAGAAGGGCTTCAGTCACCCCAGGTTCATGCTCTGCTCAGGGTTTGAGCAGGTGGAGCCACTGCCCTGCCCACCTGGTCAGTCCTTCTGAGCAAGAAGGTAAAGGTGACCACAGCTGGGAGGCAGCAGTAGGGGACAGATGACAGTTTTCCCCCAAGCAGAGGAAACTTCCCTCCTAGAAAAGGGTCATTCCATTCAGTTTAACTTGGTCAGAACTTACTGCACAAACAATATTGGTCTTGTAGGGATTGTAAACCATTTTTGTGGCTCCAGCTGACAAATTGTTCTCTGGGGGACAGGGCTCCAGCCTTTGCATGTCATGGATGCACAAAAAGGGCATTCCCACAAATGAGGAAAAGTCTCCCCTCACAAACTCGTCTCTGACACCCACTAATAATTTCATCTTAACCCACCACAAGATGGAAGCATGAGAACTAGGAAATAAAGGGAGGGTATTTCCATGGGAACTCAGAATGTTTAATATGGAAAATTACAGAACATCAACATGGTCTTTGTGCAGCTGCACGTTTTCCACAAGAACAGATGCAGTGACACACTGGTGCTTGGTTGCTGCCAGGAAGCTGTTTTGTTTATACTTGGCATGGAGAGTCAACAGGCAGGAAGCAGTACTGTGAATCCAGAAACTGCAGACACCAGCTGTGGAAGCAGGTGGACAATCATGCCTGCCTTCACTTCAGGTTCTTGAACAGTTTGTGAGCAACCTGAAAAGAGGAGACAAAGCATTCATCACCAGCCTCTTGGCTTTCTGGGCTACTAAAGCACACAGCCCACAGACCTCTGCTCCTCACTGATTTGCAACAAGTTCTTCAAGAAAACTAACAAGCAGAGACTTCTTACAGGTTAAAAAGGTTTAACTTTAAAAAGGTAAATACAACACTAAAATAGCAGTGTTGTTTGCAGGGTAGAAACAATGTCTTTGGTTTATTTGTTTAATAACCTACCCAACCCCAAGTGGAACTGTTGTAACACGGGGGAGCCAAACATTTTAAGGAGAACATGCATCAAGGCTCACAGTTCTTCAGAGCTCACTGGGACTGAACAGCTACTACATCTCACACAAACTGTTGGCACTCTCTGAAGCACAGCAGGGACGTTGCATCCACAAGGGCTGCACTTACACAGTGGTCCCTGGCATGCAGGAAATCGAAAAGCTCCTCTGTGCACTGTTCTTCTGTCTGGGACCTGGAGGACACCCGTGCGTCACACAGCTCCAGCTGCTCTCGCGCCTTCACGCATTTCTCCATCTGCTCGCAGTGCTCCCGGATTGTGGTTAAAGGATCCTGCAGACACGGGTCTACCATAAGAACAGGGAGACCCCAGAAAACCGTTTTCCCCTGAGACCCATTGCTTTAAGGGGGAACCATACATCTACATCAAAGCCCGGACTTCAGGTTCCTCCCCGCTGAACTCTGCCTCGCCAGCACATAACGGGGATGGGGGCCCAGGCCCCTACGAGTTTGTTTATCGCTGATGAAAGGCACCGTGCATCTGCCCCGGGAGCAACGAACCACTGCAGAGGTTACATGCCTCCCTGCCGCCACCGAGGCCTGCCGAATCCCCGGGCAGGGGCGGCCCAGGTCCCCCCGGCCCCATTCTCCATCTTACCACAAGCTCTTCCTCCTCCTCCTCCTCCTGCAGGAAAAAAAAACCAACACAGCCGTTACCAACAGTCCGACCACCAGCCGCGGCGTCTCAGCACACGCCCGCCGGCCCGGCCCCGCTCACCTCAGGCTCCCCGGCGTGAACGACACGGTCGCGCAGCCCCATCGCTCGGCTCCCGCCGCCCAGAAGGACTCGCCAGGGTCACCCGCCGGAAGTGGCGCTGCACGCCCCGGAAGCGGAAACGCGCCCGGAGCGCCTTGGGCCCGCCCCTGGGGCCGGTGCTGCAGGCCCCGGCGGCGGCTGCGCCTGTGCCTGTGACCGACTCAAGGCAGCTACAGCCCCGCTCCCTGCCTTCTTTTTGCCTTTTTTCCTGGGGATCGCAGCCTCGGAGCCGGCTCGGCCTGGCTGCCGGCCCCGCGGGGGAAGGGCAGGCCTCTCGAC